GCCAGACCTCTGTATGAGGCGACTAAGGGGGACCCCAATGAGCCTCTAGACCCCTCTAAACCTATAGAATCAGCCTTCAAATCCTTACAGCAGGCACTTGTCCAGGCCCCAGCACTACACCTTCCAGACCTCTCATGGCCATTCATACTATACACTCATGAAAATCATGGCCTGGCTCTGGAGGTTCTAGGACAAGACAAAAGTCCCTCTTTCACCCCAGTGGCCTACCCATCAAAACAACTGGACCCCACCTGTAGGGGCTGGGCCCCTTGTCTCAGAGCCCCAGCAGCGGTAGCTACTCTGGCCCTAGAAAGCTCTAAACTTACCTTAGGGCAGCACACAACTATCAAATCCCCTCATCATCTTCAGGACCTTGTGACCCACAAGGCTATACAACATCTCTCACCTTCACTACTTCAGCATACCATCTGGTTTTCATTGAAAACCACCAGTTTTCTCTCACTCCTTGCTCTCCCTTGAATCCTACTACTCTCCTCCCCACTGGGACAGATCCTCCTCTCCACTCCTGCATTGAAACAATTACCCAGTTCATATCTCCCTTTCCTCATATTTCACCCACTCCTCTCTCCACACCTGAGCAGCTCTGTGAAACACACGATGACACCAAATGCCAGTGAAGCCCAGAGGGCATGTCTATCTGTCTAGGAGGAGCGGCGGAGTTTGGGGTAAAGACTGTAGAGATGCTGAAGGAAAGGTCCGAGTCCTCTTGATCACCCTTATTACTGTGACTAATGCCACTTACTTGGTCTTTGTATCCATATTGGCACCTATTTATTTATTTATTTATTTATTGTTAAGTATTTTTGACAGTATTAAGATGTTCACCATTCCCTCCCCACCTGGCTTCCTCCACCCAACCCCTACCTACCCCAGCCCCTCACCACCCTACTGTCTGTGTCCATGAGTGATGCAGATGCACATACAAGGTCTTTGGTTAATCTCTTCCCACCCTCCCTTCTGACAGCTGTCAGTCTATTCCATGCATCCATACCTCTGGTCCTATTTTGTTCAGCAGTTTATTTTGATCATTAGATCCCACATATGAATGAGACCATGTGATACTTGTCTTTCTCTGACTGGCTTATTTCACTTAAGCATTATACTCCCCAGGTCCCTCCATGTTGTAACAAAGGGTAAGAGATCCTTTTTTTTTTTTTTTTTTTGTATAGCTGCACAGTATCCCATGGTGTAAATGCTTTTTTATGCACTCGTCTATGGATGGGCACTTGGGTTGTTTCCAGATCTTAACTATTTTAAATAATGCTGCTATGAACATAGGTGTGTATATATTTTTTCTGATTGATGTTTCAGGTTCTTAGGATGTAGTCCTAGAAGTGGAATTGCTGGGTCAAACAGCAATTTCATTTTTAATTTTTTGAGGAAACTCCATACTGTTTTCCACAGTGGCTGCACCAGTCTGCGTTCCCACCAGCAGTGCGCAAGGGTTCCCTTTTCTCCACATCCTCCCCAGCACTTGTTGTTTGTTGATTTATTGCTTAGTCATTCTGACAGGTGTGAGATCGTACCTCATTGTTGTTTTAATTTGCATTTCTCTGATGATTAATGATGTTGAGCATTTTTTTCATATGTCTATTGGCCATATGTCTGCATGTCCTCTTTGGAGAAGTGTCTATTCATGTCCTTTGCTAATATTTTAATTGGATTGTTTGTCTTCCTGGTGTCGAGTTGTGTAAGTTCCTTATGTATTTTGGATATTAACTCTTTATCAGATGTATCATTGCCAAATATGTTCTCCCATACAGTGGGCTCCCTTTTCATTTTATTGATGGATTCTTTTGCTGTGCTTTTTATTTTGATGTGGTCCCATTTGTGTATTTTTCTTTTGCCCTAGGAGATGTATCAGTGAAAATTCTGGTATGTAAAAAGTCTGAGATTTTGCTGCCTATGGATTCTTCTAGGATTTTTATGGTTTCATGACTTAAATTTAAGTCTTTTACCCATTTTGAGTTTATTCTGTGTGTCGTGTCAGTTGGTGATAGTACCTATTTTTTAGTCACAAGTGCCATGAAGAGACAAAGAGGCCATGGACGTCTCCTGCGGTCATTGGGAAGCATCCTGGCCGTGTCATCCCATCAGCACAGTGTCTGACACACGGCAGCTGCTCAGTAATACCCACTGAGTGAGTAGATGAGCAAGTCCAGATGACACGGACAGGGGTTGGGGTCAAATTCTGGACACGAACCTGCACACAAGGACGTGATTGCTGGAGGGGCTGAGTGGTTGTCTTCCAGGACCTGGCCTGGTGGTTCACCTGCCTCCTGGTGGCCTCTGCAAGTCCATTCCGAGTCTCTGGCGGGGTGTGGGCTGAAGCCACTGGGCCTGGAGGGCTGGGGAGGCCTGACACACGGACAGGGCGGGCCCTAGGCCCAGTGAAGAGGCCTGCACTCTCAGGTCTGTGGACCAGGCTCTGGACTCTGTTGCTTTCACCTCTTTCCTGGCTTCTCAGGGCTCTTGTTCCCTTGCCCCCTACTTGGCCTCAGTTTTCCTGACATTCAAGGATCTTGGGGAGAGCATGGCAGCCCCAGTGACAGATGGCTGGGCAGTGGAGCCACACTGGTGTGTGCCTCCCAAGCCCATGTGTTGCGGGGGTGGGGGGGGGGGGGTGTGCACTGTCCCTACCAGGCCGCATCAGGGGCCACACAGGTGAGTGGAGAAGAGAGGTTTGGGGCCCAGAAAGAGTGAGACCTTGCTCAACAGGAGCTGTGGGCAGGCAGGAGAGCGAGGAGATGGGAGGAACGGCCACCAAAATCAGACCCACAGAGGGGCCCAGAGCAGAGCTCCAAGGAGGCAGAGTCGCTGCTCTCCGTGTTCTCTGACTGTAGAGTGACACCTGTTCCCTGGGGAAACCAGCTCGCAGGGAGGGCTGCGGTCTGGCCCAGGGCCACTGAGAGCAGAGGAAGTCCTGGGGGTCCCCAGCCGTGGACCGGTGGCTCTGACCCCGCCCAGTGACTATGCAAGGCTGGCAGAGAGGCAGGCCTGTGTCGGAGTCAGCCCTCTCCTGTGTCTCTCTGAGTTGCTCCATAGAAGAGTGAGGCTGGGAGGGGGGCTGAGGGCTGAGGGGCTGGAGGGCAGGAGGGCAGGGTGAGAGGCCTGCACATGGTGCCCAGAGGACTTTGGATCACACCCAAAGGTGAGGAGGCTTCCTAGGCCCACATGTGAGTGGAGGCGAGGGCATGGGTGGACTTGGAATTTCTCAAGCAAAGGGCTTCAGGCTTTGATTCCCTGCTGCCTGCCCCCCCCCCCCCCCCCCCCCCCCCCCCCCCCCGCCCCCCCAAGGGCACCGCTGCAGCCCTTCTCCTTTCCTGCTGACCCAGTCCAGTGGGGAGATGTCCTGAGCCCACTATTCCCAGCTCCATACAAACCTGAGCTTGGGCTCAAGGTGTCTTTGACCCCACTGGCCGTCTTGCCCGCCTCCCGCCCTCTACTGAGCACAGGGGGGCAGGGCCTGTGTGGAGGCTGCCACTCGTGGAGTCCTCAGCCTCTCAGCTTCCACCCTTCCTCAGTCTAGGCTCCTCTCTCTTCTTCTCACTGTGTTTCCTAGTCCCTCGTGGGTGAGGATGGCAAATGGTGAGTGAAGGTCGCTCTTCGATAAACACAGTTGAGGCTCTGGCAGTGGCACACGTCCAGGCGCTGAGCCCGTGGCCTTCCTGGCCACCTACAGCCTGTGGGTGTGCACCACTCAGGCCTCAGTTTCCCTCCTGGCCCCACTCTAGGGCCCAAGACAAGCCCCATGTGAGCGCTGGAGTGAGGCCAGCGATGTCCTTTCTCTGCAGCGGCTGGCACAGGGCATGGCCTAGAAGAGCTTGCGAGGGCGGCTGCGCCTCACCACCTGGTGCAGAATGACTTACTGGCCTCTGCTTGTGTGCATGCCCTGAGCTGCGTGTGTGGCCTGATTTCTGCATCTGCAACAGAGTCAGATGCTGGTGCCAAGGACCCAGCTTCTGTTCTGAGGACCCCTCCCCGGGACTGTCCTTCCCCCTGCAGCTCTGCCCTTCCTGCCTCACCAGGCCTTCTGCGGAGCCCTGAGCCCCCATCCCCATCTACCCAGCTCCAGTTCCTTGTCCCTGCAGCGCTGACTCAGGAGGAACAGACGTGGGCCCTGGGTGGGGACTTCGTGTTAGTGTCACAAGCCCAGGTGCCATTGGCTTCGCAGGGAGTGCACGGTGCTGCTCCTGCTGGACATGCTGGCCTGGGCGGCGATGCCTGAGCCCTGCACCTGTCCCACAGCGGAGGCGCAGGCCTCCTTCTCAGGCGTCTGGGATTCTAAATAAATCTTTTTTTAATGTTGGCGATTAAGCAGCATGGGCTGCTGTCTGACTAGGGCGTGCTGGCGGGTAACTCAGGGAGCACCCTGGCCCCTTCCACACACCCAGCCGTCCTGACATCGCTCTGGAAGCTAGGAAACATACCCGGATCACAATGTAATCAGTGGAATCCGAATGCCAGCAGCTGGGCTGAGCTGCGGGTACCGGGCTCTACCTCAGCTTCTGAGTGCTCTCAGTTCTGTTTCAATGAGCAGCTTTCCTGTGCACATCATCCTGTTCGAGCCTCACAGTAGCCAGTGGAGCCATATTAACATTTATGTCAGGGTCAGGAGCAATGGCTTCCCTCCCCTTGCCCTGGGGAGGAGAGCTATGACTCACATTCAGGTCCTGCCCCCCCCCCCCACTCCTGTCATGCAGCCTGGCATCTCAAGGCCCTGTGTCCTGGGCCGTGCACGGCCCAGGGTGAACCTGAGGAGAGGTGGTGAAGGATCGAAGAAAAGACAGACAAGAGAATACAGCTGGGGCTCGGTGGATCTCCCGTGCCTGGATGAGGACACAAAAGACCAGCCTGCAAGCTAATGCTTTATTTTATAGTCTGATTAAAACAAGGGTAGATTAACATGTATACAAATGTTCTTGTTTTGGCAACACTTGCTGCCCATTAGCTACTTAGGACGGAATTAGGGAGGGCTACAAGGTCAGGCTTAATTATGCTAGGAGAGCTCTGCCCTCCAGGCTGGGACTTGTTTAAGGGACTTGACCTGCCATAGGTCAGCCCAAGGCTTGACCCTAGAGCCTCTCCCTACAGTGTCTGGCCCAGGGCTGGGCTCATGGCCATTAGGGCTGAAGGATGCATGTCTGGAGTTTGGCTCTGGGGCTGCTGGTTAGGACCCACAGGCAGCACCCAGCCCTGGCTCTGTCCAGGCGGTGGGAGGGGGTGCGGGGGAGGGGGGGTCCTGGTCAGCCCTGGTCAGCACAGAACCCGAGTGGCTCCCTGGGCTGAGTCCCACCCACTTCACTGCAGGGACAGGCGCTGCCAGATTCCACTGCCCAGGGCGTAGTTCACAGCATTGACTGTGGGCACCATTTTGGCAATGAGAGCGGGCACCTGTTGTGGCAAAAACACCAGGAAAGAAATTGCAAAGCCTCTGCCTATCTCCCTGGTCCCACCTGGTGATCCCCTCCACCCCCCAAGGACCCATCACTGTCCTGCTGCCCTGTCCTCTCCGATTAGCTGTCCATGTGTCTTGTCTGGGAGCACATGGCTCTGGGCACAGCCTTAGTCCCTGGCCCCAGAGGCATGTCCCCCTCTGGCCGTCTGCCCTGTCACCTCACCTGAGGCTTAGGCAGCATCAAGCAGCTGCCCTTGTGGCCTGGGCGACAAGCACAGTCCCAGTGAATTATGGGTATTTAAAGGAAGAGAGAAAGAGAGAATATCATGGAGGTAGGAAAGCAAGAGAGAGACAAAGGTGGAGCGAGCCCAGGCTCTGGCACTGGGGGTCCCTTACCACCTGTAGCCTGGGGGGGATGAGGGCCGTGCCCGTGAGGGCTGCACAGAGATGCAGGAGGGCGTAGGGGCCCCAGCCGAGCAGCAGCGTCCTGGCTGGCAGAGTGGTATTCACCTGGGGAGAAATGGGCACGGAGGGGGCATGACTGCCCTGACGGCTGGCAGCCCAGGCAGCCAGGGACTGTGTGGGCATGTGCAGACTGGCATGTGGCCAGGCTGCGGGAAGGTGCTGAGCTTGTGGGGGAGCTTGGGGCCCCAGGGGCCCTTCTGCCATTTCAGATGCACAGCCTCAGCCTGTCATGTAAGCTTGCTTAGCCTCAGTTGCCTTGTCTGTAAAATGGCCAGATTCTACCTGACTGGCCTGGAGGCAGGGTCTGGTCGAACCCAGGCTCCCTGAGTATGTCTGTGTGCACAAGGGTCCCTGCGCGGCCCTCACACCTCAGCCTGGGAACCAGCTCTCCTGCAGCTGCACTGGGGTCCTGGGCTCAGAGGGGCCGCTTCCCACGCGGGAGACACAACCAGGACAGGCGATGTGGTGCCACGCAGGGGGCTTCTCGCTCGCGATCTAATTGTAAGAGGAAGTTGCCATGCTCTCCTCTCACGTGCACTCGGGTGAGGACTTGTGAGCCTAAACCTCAGTGTCTGTTTCTCTAGACTGTGTTCCTTTCACAGAAGGACTAAGCGCGCGGCCGGGTCGGGGCCAGGGCCAGGGCGGCGCCCGCTGATGTTGTCTGCCTCATGGTTTAAGTCAACTCAGAAGAATGCGGACGCCCGCGGCAGCCTGATCTCCGGGCGATGGCACCGGCCTGCGGGGCCGCCCGGAACCTGAACCTGAACGCAGTTCAGGTCCCAGCACAGCCTGGCCCTCCTGCTGGGACTCAGGGCCCCGCCTGCAGCTCGCAGAGTGTGCCCCGCTTCCAGGTCAAAGGGAAGCACCTGCGCAGGCGTCTCAGCGGCCCAGCTCCCTTTCCTGCCCAACCGCAGCGGCGGCAGAGGGCTCAGCCAGCCCCTCAATAAGACCGCTCCTCCTCTGGGAGTTGCGAAAATGTGCCATTAATACCTGGATTTAAAAAATCTCTGATGCTTGTTTTGACTCATCTGCTAAAGATTATCCAGGTGACAAAGTTAAAACAAAATTGTGGCAGGGAAATATCCCTGTGGAAATTCAGAAGTGGCCGAGGGTATGAGTTCACGTCAGGGGGAAGAGCTGGTGCCTGGGATTAGATTCATCCTTTCCACGCGTCCAAGCAGCTTTGAAAAAGCATGTGATTTTGCCCGGCTGCTGTGGCTCAGTGTTTGAGCATCGACCTGTGAACCAGGAGGTCATGATTTGATTCCAGTCAGGGCACATGCCCGGGTGGTGGGCTCAATCCCCAGTGTGGGGCATGCAGGAGGCAGCTGATCAATGATTCTCTCTCATCATTGATGTTTCTTTCTCTCCCTCTCCCTTCCTCTCTGAAATCAATAAAAAAAAAAAAAAATTTTTTAAAAAAGCATGTGATTTTGTGCCAACCCTCACGTCCTTGAGAAGAAAGAACCGTAACAGTGTGGACGGAGTCTGGCAGGGCCCCGGCTTTCCGGGCTCAGTGTCTAGCCGGTAAGCCTGAGCAGCCCTGGCCCTTCCCTAAGGTCATGGCGACCAATCCCCAGCACCCACAGGAGGGGCGCTCTCGCCCTCCCCTGGGACAGCTGCATTGCTTCTGATTGTTGAAAACACAGGAACCCCATTGCATCTGCCATGTCCCTGAGCAGCGCAGAGTCCTCTGCTCTGGGTTTAGGCCTTACCTGGGGGGGGCTGGTCCTCCCGAGTTTCTGTTCCATGAGCCGATAGGATGTGAATGTGATGAAGAGGGGCAGGAGGAAGTTGAAAAAGGCCATGAGGAAGAGGAAGCTGGTGAAGTTTCTGCAGACAGAGGGGAGCGGGAGGCTGTCCCTCAAGGGTGAGAGCTCCCCGAGTCCCTCCGCCTCAGCTCCGGGCAGTCGCATGCGGGAACTGCTCCCACGAGATGGGAGCTCAGAGTGTGGCCACTCCCCATCCTGCCTGCACTCCCTCAGAATCAGGAAGCCACCAGGGCCTCCTACACGCCCCGAAGGAGCCAGGGAGCTGGGTGAGGGTCCTCCTTCACTAGCTGTTGCCCATCCAAGTGCCCAGCTCAGTATGTGCTCCCAGCATGGGCGGTGGGCACTTCTGTTTGGAAACCATGTTTACCAGATGGAGATGCCAATGGACCAAGAGGAAGGAGCATTCCAGGAGTGTTCCTGGCACAGGGATTTTAAAGGAGCCTGTGGATAGCAGAGACTGGGCACTGTGTCACTGAAGAAATTGCTGTGGTCATGGGAGGTGCAAGGGCCGACCCTTCATTAAGAAGATACCATGTCGCCGGCCAGTGTTGAGAGTTGACCTATGAAGCAGGAGGTCACAGTTCAATTTCCTGTCAGGGCACAGGCCCGGGTTGTGGGCTCCATCCCCAGTAGGGGATGTGCAGGAGGCAGCCAATCAATGATTCTCTCTCATCATTGATGTTTCTATCCCTCTCCCTCTCTCTGAAATCAAGAAAAAACATATATTTTTTAAAAGAAGATACCATGTCACCTTGGTGCTGTCCACTAAGGGCAGGTGGGGGAAGGGGTGCCGGAAGTATGGGCACAGCCGGGGAAACGCTGCCCAGAGTGCATGGCAGGTGCTGGGAGGACCCAGGGTTCTCAAGTGGGTTTCGTCAGGGGCAGACACTTCGTGAGCAAATGTGAGTAAACATATAAAGCAGCAAATGCAACATGGTTCTAGTGGAAGTGAGAGGGGAGCTGGAGCCCATGTGGCCCCTCCTTTCAGTCCTGGTCTCCCAGGGGCCCCGGGGAGGGGACAGGCAGTATTAGACATGGCTCCCTGATAGCGAGCCTTGTGCATCTGCTGTCTCTCCAGGGCTGGCCCAGGGCCTGGCTGCCACAGAGGCTCAGGGGATTTAGAGACCTGAGCACTGTGCCAAGGAGGTTCCTCCCAAAGCAAAGACCGTGACATTCCCTGAATCCATCGAACCCCAGGGCAGGACTCCCTGTAGAAAGCAAGCAAGTCGAAGCTCCGACGGCTGACTGCTGAGATGGCCAAGGGTCCTGGGCTCAGCAGCTGCTACCACCAACCAGGCCAGTGCTCACAGCCGGCCGCTGCCGGGCCCACCTCTGCACTCACACTGCAACCTTGCGTCACTCGGCCGGTCAGAGTGGGTTTCCCTGCCCACCGTCAGCCTGCAAGTGGGCATCACAGCTAAGGAGTTGGGATTGCCTGGCCAATGTTGGATTTTCAGCTATGACATCGCTGTCCCCCGGAAGGGCGCATCCCGCCTCACCTGCTCCCCCTGGCGTAGCCCAGACTGCAGCAGGTCCCCAGGGGCTCGTAGTCATAGTGGCCCCAACCCAGGAGGGGCAGTGCTGCCCAGAAGGCCGAAGACAGCCACACGAAGAGCACCAAGGAGGCGGCCATGCGCCATGCCAATCGGCTGCCTGCAGGGAGGAGGAGGGTTGTTGAGAGGAGTTGATGGAAGAACAGTGGGCTTCGTGGTCGGGCACAATGACCTGAACCCTGCATCCAATCCCCAACAGCTTAAGCCTCAGGCAGGGGAAGAGCTCGGAGTCTCACTTTTCCTTCCACAAAATAGGAAAGGTGGTTCCTGCATCAGAGGGCTGCTATGGAGAATAAAGAGGTCACAGATGGAAAGACCGAGCAGACACTCCATACTCCTTTCCTCCGAGGACAGAGAAAGGAGAGGTGGCAAAGAGAAGGTGTGCTTCCCAAAGCTAAGTTAGGAGAGACACACGGGCAGAGGCCCTGGGGGCATTGGCGGAGGGAAGTGGAGCCTGGAGTTACCGCCTCTAGCTCTCGCTCAGAAGCAGCAGTCTGCTCCGGACTCAAGAGCTCTGGGCGTGGGGTTTGGGCATCTCACTGCCATGGGTGGAGGCTAGGTCCTGACAGTGTTTTTGGTCCTGACAGTGTTTTTGGTCCTGACAGTGTTTTTGGTCCTGACAGTGTTTTTGGCCCCAGTGGCCTGACCTCCTCCACCTACATCCCTCACATCCTCACCCAGCCCTTCCCTCCAGGGCTGCCTCCTGGTCTCGCTGCAGAAGGCCTTTCCCAGATGCCTTCTCTGTCCATAGCTCATGTTCCTCTGTGGACAGGACTCCAGGGGGATCAGCAGAGAAGAGCAGGTCTACAACCCCCTCACCTGACACTGATTCCATGGACACAGCCCCAGATAGAGTTGGCTTGGATATGTCCCCTTCTATGAACTAAATCTTTATGCTCCCCATCCAAAATTCATACCATGAAGCCCCATAACCATGTGGACTTTGGGAGGCACTTAGGTCCCAAGAGTGGAGCCTCCATTTTGGATCAGTGCCCTTCTATGAAGAGATAAGGCCCAGCCGGCGTGGCTCAGGGGTTGAGCATCAACCTATGAACCAGTAGGTCACAGATTGATTCCCAGTCAGGGCACATGCCCAAGTTGTGGGCTCAATTACCAGTAGGGGGCGTGCAGGAGGCAGCTGATGGATGATTCTCATCATTGATGTTTCTCTCTCTCTCTTCCTTTCCCTTCCTCTCTGAAATCAATAAAAATAAGTTTTTTAAAAAGAAGAGATAAGAGAGAGATGATCTCTTTCTCCTTCATGTAAGGACACAGCAAGAGGCAGCACCTGCAAACCAGGAAGAGCGCTCTCCTCAGAACCCAGCTGTACTGGCACCTGACCTTGGACTTCTAGAACCAGAGAGAGAACTTTCTGTGGTTGAAGCCCCCCGTCTTTGGTGTTTCCTATCTGGCTAAGACCCACAGTAATTACAGTGGCACAATAATTCAAAGACATATTGACCCGTGCGTTGCATTAGCCTTTTTGGCTTTGGAAACAGATGACCGAGGTGCACACCTAAGGTCACCTAGGAGGGAGTCTTGCACTCAGTCCCACCTGCCCCTCCTGCCCCTCCAGCCCCTCCCTGCCTAGTGCTGCACATACCCTCCAGAACAGGAAGGGCCTTGGTCTAGGACTCTAGGCCCTGGCACCGGCTCACTGCCGTGTTGAGACAGAGAAGCCTGTTGCTCTCTGAGAAGGTGTGCGTGTGTGTGCACATGTGAGAGTCCATGTGTGCGTGAGGTGGTTGAGGGAGTTTGGGGGGCAGGGCTGGGATGGTGGTGGGAGAGGAGCTCCAATGTCAGATGGGACAGGAGAGGCCAGAACAAAGGCAATGTTTTGGTCTGGAGAGAAGCATGTTGTGCTAGGGGCAGGAACCGCGGCATAGAAAAATTACTGATTGTTTTAAAGAAACAAAGTGGTATGATTGAACCCAGCCAGGTGTGACCCCATTTTCCTCCCGAACTTTTTACCCTGCCAGTTAACGCTTTGTAGTTTTTGCAAATAAAAGCTTTGCTGCACCCTCGGTCGGTACTGCAGCTGCGAGGCTCCCTTGTGAGGAGGTACGCGCTGTAGTCGCTGGCCAGCTTAATAAAGGCTCTTAAATTTAAATTGTGCGTCGGTGGTCTATCTCGCTGATTGAACCCATAACAATGTGACTTTGCCAAGGGTGTGCGTGTGTTTGTGGCAAGGGCAGATCTGTAGTTCCAAAGGGGCAGTGCCCAGGGCTCCAGGCCATGCTGACCACGTACCCCACAGAACCTCCATTGCTCTAAACGTGGAGACAGGGACAAGGGAGAGGACACCTCTGAAGGCACAAAGGCCAGGCCGACTCCCAGCACAGCCCCATCAGCTGTGGCCTAGACACAACCTCGCTTCTCTGAGCCTCTGCTTCCCGGTCTGCCAGCTGGGCATTTGCCGTGGGGTTCGCCGTGGGGTTTGCCATGGGGTTTGCCGTGGGGCTTGCTGTGGGTTTGCCGTGGGGTTTGCTGAGCCACTGCTCACCGAAGCAGGTTTGTATGCTCTGAGGTGAAGGGGATTCTAGAGAGCCTATGGGTGAACATGAGTTTTATATTAATGTGTATTAAAATTATAAGAACATTAAAGCTGTGAGGTCACAGATATTGTTTAGAACAAGAATAAAGAGGGTGTTAGAATTTTAAAAGCGGCTCACTTCTAAAAAAGAAATATCAAGTAAATAACAGCAGGTGGTACACTCACATGGCCAATTAAGAAGATGGCACTTGACAATATGGCTTGGGAAATGGAGAGCTAGACTAGTTTTCATGAAGCTCTGGCATGGCACAGGCTCCGTGGAAGTGTGAGGTGTGGGGGTCACATGCCCAGCCACACACACACACACACACACACACACACACACACACACGTACACATCACCTCTCTGCTCCCCAACAGTGCCTGTCATCAAGGACATTTTCTGTATCCATGATCTGATTTGATTTTCAGGATAAAACTGAGATTGGTTACAAAAATCATCTAGCAGAAGAGGAGACTAAGGTTCAGAGAGGACCCCTGACTTGCCTGAGGCTACAGCAAGGGCACAGACAGCTTGTCCAGCACATGCGGTCTTCCTCCTTGCCTGGTGCCCGCAGCCCA